CATAGAAGCGGGATCATGCGGTATTGACCTGTTCTGGACATGGCATAGAAGCGGGATCATGCGGTATTGACCTGTTCTGGACATGGCATAGAAGCAAGATCATGCTCATGCAGTATTGACCTGTTCTGGATGTGGCACAGAAGCGGGATCATGCAGCATCTGCCTGTTCTGGACATGGCACAGAAGCGGGATCATGCAGTACTGACCTGTCCTTTGCGTCTGGCTGCTGTCACTCAGCATCATGGTTTTGAGGTTCATCCATGCTGTAGCGTGCATCAGAACTTCATTCCTTTTTTTTTTTTTAATTGTTGTTGAAAGTATACACAACAAAACATACAACAGTTCAACAGTTTCCACATGCACAGTTCAGTGACACTGATTACAGTCTTTGAGTTGTGCAGCCATTCTCACCCTCCTTTTCCAAAGTGTTCTTCCCGCATTAACAAACTCATTGCCCCCTAAGGTTCCTGTCTAATCTTTTGAGTTGCTGTTGTCAAGTTGATCTCATATAGTTCTTAAAAGAGCACAATGCTCAAGGCAGACATTCTTTACTAATTAAGCTGAACTATTGTTTGGTTTAAAGAAGACGTCGGGATATTTTTGGTTTAAGGTTTAAAGATTATCTGAGGGCAGTAGTTTCAGGGGTTCATCCACCCTCCATGGCTCCAGAAAGTCTGGATTCCATGAGAATTTTGAATTCTTGTCTGTATTTTCCCCCTTTTGATCAGGATTTCTCTATAGAATCTCTGATTAAAACATTCAGTGTAATGGTAGCCAGGCACCATTCAAGAATTTCATTCCTTTTTATGGCTGAATAATAATATTCCATTGTGTATAAACACCACACTGTGTCTCTCCATACATCAGCTAAAGGACACTTGGGTTGCGTCCACTTCTTGGCTACTGTAAGGCATGCTGCTGTGACTGTTTGTGGACAAGAATCTGTGTGGATGTAGGTTTTCACTTCTCTTGGGCATCTGCCCAGGAGCGGAATTGCTGGGCCATATGGTGACTGTGTTTAACCATTTGTTTCCCACAGCGGCGGCACCTCTTCACATTCCCATTAATTAGAAGTGTACTGTCCCCTCATTGCAGTGACCTGAGGCTAAAAACGCGAGCCTCTTGGGACAGGGTGCTGATGCCACCTGCCTGGAGCCCCCCAGGTGGCTGTCCCTCACTGTCCCTCTCTTTCTCAGCTTCCACGATGATGCCCCCAAGGACTATAGGCAGGTTTCTCTGACTGCTGTGAAGCAGCGATTTGAGGATAGGCGCTACGAGGGGATCAGTCAGGAAGAGGTACTGGGGGGGAGAGGGCGGGGTGCCAGCTGGGGGAGCCGGGGCGGGGTGTACCCCACATCCCCTCTTGGCGTCCGCTGACCCTGCCTTCTTCTCAGGTGATTAGCTACGGCCAGTTGTGCACATTGTTAGGCGTGAAACAGGAGAACCCAGAACCTGTGTCTCTTCTCAGCACGGGGGAAATTCACGCCTTTCTCACCTCTCCCTCCGGGAGGGCCAAACGGTGAGTGCCCCTCCACGTCCAAAACGAGGCCCCAGAATGTCGGCACATTGGCTCCCATGTGCCGGGGGTGCTGTCTCAATGCCCTGTTGCATCCCTGTCTGTGTAGTCTCGGGGTACCAGCACCCTGTTTTGCAGAGGCCACTGGGCTTTAGGTTGAGGCAGTGGGTCTGGATCCCACGTGAGGTGAGGTTGGGACCAGACCCCCACTCAGCCTTGGCCTGTGTTCTGTCTCCAGGCTTCTAGCCCACTCTCCTTCTAGGGCTTGTTTCTCTCGTTTAGCCCGCTCCCCTCTGGGGAAAGACATCCCTGGCGGGTTATGCCCTGCCACTTGCCCCTGAGCGCCATCTTGGGCTGCTCTGCCCCACGGTGTTGGTGACGCCCCCAGCCCTCAAGCTGAAACTCATTAACCATCCTCAACACCTCCCTCTTCTCTCCCCTTGGCCCCGGTCACCTTGGTCTCCCCTTGGCCCCACCTCCCCCGTCAGTGCCTCGGCACAGACTGCCTTCCTGAGATGGCTTCCCCTCCTATCTTACCACCCCCTGCCCAGAGAACTACTGACCCTTCAGAGGCGCCCACCCTGCCTCCTCAGCACCGTGTGCAGCTGGGAGCTGCAGGCCGGCCCCATCTTGACACCGGGCAGGTGGGGCCGTGCTGAGTCCCAGGGGAGTGGGGCAGGAGACCTTAACTTCCAGGGAGCCCCTAGGAAGCAGGAGATATGGACGCAGCCTAAGCCCCTGGTGCTGCTGCCGCTTCCTTCCCGGAAAGGTGCAGCAGCCTCTTCCCGGTGGTCGAAGCCAGACTGTCACCAGTCGGGAGGCCTGAGTACTGGGGGGGGTGCATCTGTGCTCCCGGGGGCTGGGGCCCTGGCCTCCCCAGCATGCTGGCCTTACTGTGCAAGCCTGCAGAGACCCCCACATGTGACACAGGGCAGGCCGGAGGCAGTGGGCCTTGCTTAGCTGGTTTAGGGGCTTCTCCCAGGGATAGCGCCCTCCACTTGCAACCCCTTCCCTGGCGAGACCTGGCCCCCTAGACAGGAGCTGTGAGCAGCCCTGCCAGGTGCCAGGCCCTGTGCCCAGCACGTCACACATCTCCTGGGAGCAGACGACCCTCAGGGTTAGCACTGTCATCCCACCATTTTCCAGAGAAGCCACGCAGTTGGCCCGGGCCTCTCTCCAGCTGGGGCAGGCAGGACTGCAACCCTAACACGGGCCCTGGTCCTGCCTCAATCGTGCTTCTTCCAAGGAGCCCTGGAGGCGCAGTGGTTAAAGCGCTCAGCTGCTAACTGAAAGGTCAGTGGTTCGAACCCACCAGCCACTCCACGGGAGAAAGACCTGGCCATCTGCTCCTGTAAAGATTACAGCCTAGGACACCTATGGGGCAGCTGTACTCAGTCCTGTAGGGTCGCTATGAGTCGGCATCAACCGTATGGCAATGGGTTGAGTTTGGTCCTTCCTGCTTTAGGGCCCTGCCCTCTGCCCAGGGGAGCGCGGGCAGGCAGGCAGGCAGGTCAGGCCAGGCCAGTCCCGGTGTGCTCACCTGACCCCCCCCCCCAGGAAGCGGGAGAACAGCCTGCAGGAGGACCGCGGCAGCTTCGTGACCACCCCCACGGCCGAGCTCTCCAGCCAGGAGGAGACGCTGCTGGGCAGCTTCCTGGACTGGAGCCTGGATTACTGCTCCGGCTACGAGGGTGACCGGGAGAGCGAGGGCGAGAAGGAGGGCGACGGTAGGTGCTGCAGCCGCGCCCCTCCCCCGCCGCGGGCTACCAAGGTTTGCCACTGAAAACCCTATGGAGCACAGCTCTACTCTCACACCAATGGGGTTGCCGTGAATCAGGGGTGGTTGGCAACCGTTAGGGGTCATGGAGGTGTCTAGATGCCTCAGGGAGGAAGGGAGGGAGCACATCCAGGTACCCTGTAGAGGGAGGAGGGCCAGGCAGCCTAGAGGAGAACGAGTCTAGACGCAGGTAGGCTTGGGAGCCGAGAGGCCCCTGCGATGCCGTGGGAGGAGAGAGGAGAGGCCCGGCCTGTGTCCGGCTCCAGCTGGGTGTGTCGATGGAGCGTGGGAATCCTCACCAGGGCAGCGAATGGGGGACACCGGGCTGGAGTCATGAGAACTTTCTAGAATGTGTAGAAACACAGACTTGAGTTGTGCAAGATGCGCCGAGGTTCGCCTGAGCCCTCCCCTGCCCCCTGGGCCCAGCTGCCCTCTAGGGCGGGTGCGGAGGCCAGTCCCCAGCAACCCCAGGCGGCACCCACAGAGGACGCCCCACGGGGAGGCCCAGTCTGGACGGGGTCGCTCCATTTTCCAGTGGCTTTTGTGTCACTCTGGAGTGGCTCGAGTGAGTGAGACGCCACCGTGCTGTCACTCTGTCCTGTCCTTGGAGTCACCAGGGCACCAGCTTGAGAGCCGTCCTTCACCCCCTTTCTACCGGGTAGTGGGCCCAGTCGTGGGCACGCGGCCCCAACACAGGGAGCTTCAAGTTCACGGCCTGGCCTCCGGGCTGCCCTGTGTCCTGATGGTGGCATGACCTGTCCCGACGTCTCCCGCAGTGACGGCTCCCAGCGGCGTCCTCGATGTCACCGTGGTCTACCTGAACCCAGAGCAGCACTGCTGCCAGGAATCGAGTGATGAGGAGGCCTGCCCAGAGGAGGAGGCCCTCCAGCGCCCACCTGCCTCAGCGCCAAGCCCGCAGACCCCGCAGACCCCAGGGCCCGAGCCCCCTCCCTGCAGCAGGCAGGGGCCAGGCAAGGACACCTCGACCTCAGGGTACTCCTCCATCAGCAGCAGCGTAAGTCCTACCAGCTCCGGGGACGGCGGCCCCCTCCGACCTACCTCAGCGCTGTCCCTGGGCAACAACTCGAAGCCGCACCCCTGCCGCTGTAACGCCAGGAAGTCATGTTTACAGTGCTGCCCCCCTGAGCCCCTGGAGAGCAGCGGGCCCCGACCACAGGCAAAGCGGAAACACAAGACGGAGCACAGTGGCGGAGGCGTGACCTTGGGCTTCCCGACGCTGTGAATGGTGCGCAGCTGTGTGCAGTAAACGTTTACTGGGGGTCCTGCTTCGCTGGGGAGGGGAGGGGGCCGAGACGGATGCCGCCTAGCCCCATTGTGGCGTCGGAGGGCAGCAGGAGGCTAACTTGGTGCCAGGTTTCTTTTCCCAGGGGGCTCCGTGAGAGCATCCAAATGTCCAGACCAGAAGGGAACACTCAGATCCTGTCTCCCGGGACACCAAGCCCCAGAGCCTGCACGCTGTGCTGTGCCCCCCCGTGCCGCGTCTCCGGCAGCTTTAGCCCATGTCCTGGTCTCCTAGCCCCACTGAGCCCGCTCCAGGTACTACAACACCTGGGACCAGGTAGCCTACGCAGCGTGCCTCCCTCCCCGTGTGTCCCTCGCAGGTGTGAGGGGAGCTGTGACAGCTGGGAGCACGCCCCCTTTCTGGTGCCCGCCTCGGCCTGTGGCCTGGCAGCTTTCCCTTCCTCGTGTGGCAGTGGGTCCCGTGGAGAGGGGGCTGTGCCCCTGTTGTTGGCGTGGGCTGGGCTGTGACTGACGGGCTGGGGGTCCTGGCTCTGAGCAGACCAGGGCACTGGCCTTGGCCACAGGCTTTCTGCTGCAGCCTGTGTCCGTCTGGGGACTCTGGTCCCCTCTTCCAGCACTGCCTGCCCCCCACCCCCACGCCCTACAGACAGCGACCACGTGAACTCTGCACTGAATTTCTCTGCCGCCTTTGTTTCTCCCCTTCACTCCTCTTCCAAGATGAAACAAAAGAAGGATCGGAATCGAGGGTATTAGACAAAGACAACAAGAAGCCCTCAGCATTCTTAGGCTCAGCTGAAACGGAGAGCTGGGACTCGAGCCCCTCCAGCTATCAGACACTTATGAGTCGGAATTGACTCGATGGCAACGGGTTTGGTGGTTTCGTTGTTTTTTCTTTTAGTACAGAAAGAATTTTCCCTGTGAGGTTAGCCAGAAAACAATTTAAAGTCATTGGTAACATGTGAGGGGACCGAGACGCAGAGGGGCAAAGAGCTTGAGCCCCGCGGCCATCATGCCTCATGCATGAAACCTCTCTCTCCATCCCCTCCCGTGTCCTGATCAGTCACTGCGTATCTGCTCTTGATTCCCATGGGAAGAAAGCCAGCCATCTGCCCTTTGATGTCATAGGAAAGATAGGAAATAACGTGATAGCAACCAAAATGTCTGCGAGACCCCCAGGGCCAGCCATGAGGTTTCTCCCAGGTCAAGTTGACCACTGATGTGCTCAGCCCGCTGTGATACGCTTTTGCTTCCTCTTGAAATATAGGAAAGAACCACCTGGCTGGGGGCATCACCAAATGCTCTTGAACCAGATGTACAGGGATGTGGAGGTGCTGACCTAATGGTCACTTTCCTGTCTGCTTCTCGTGTCTGTGTGACGCCCCCATGGCAGCTGTCTTCCAGCCACTGTAAACTCCGCACCCCGAGGGGCATGGTTGGGGTGAGGAATCACAGACCTGCCCTGTGGACTCTGTCCGTGGTGTGCATTATTAACCTCTTGAGCCTCAGTCTCCTTATCTGTAAGATGGGGTGGCGATACCTACCTCACAGGGATGTTGTGAGGATTAAATGTGATGAGGATGGTGCCAAACCAGTGACTTACCTTCATGTTCTCGTCCCCTTGTCCAGGGTCCCTCTACCAAAATCCCAGCTTGGCATGGACCCAGCTGTCTGCCTCTCCTGGCCTGCCCCTTGGGAAGGAAACCGCTCTGGGGGGCTCTGGTACCCCGTGTGGCCTCCCAAGTGCTGACTCCCCCACCAGCCTCCCTCCAGGCATGTAAACAGGTCACTGCTGAAGGAGAGGCCCATCCTAGGAGCCTCCCTGCCACCCTGGAGTCCCCTCTGTGTCCTCCACCCCCCTTACAGCACCTTCCAATTGGTAGCTGACATCGAGTCCATTTTGACTCATAACGACCCAGTGTGACAGAGTAGAACTGCTCCACACGGTTTTCTTGGCTGTAATCTTTAGAGCAGCAGATCACCGGGCCTTTCTTCCATGGAGCGGCTGGTGGGTTTGAACTGCCCACCTTTTGGTGAACAGCCGGCTGTGCCACTAGGGCTCGTTACCTTTTCTGTTAGGGAGTACAAAATAGATTCATCGAATCTTTCCATCTTTAAACACAATACCTCCACGCGTCCCTCTTCCCGCTACTGCCTGATATTCCTCTGCCCTACAGCGTTTGATTCTTGTTACTCTTGTTGCACTGGGGCCTGCTGCCCCTGACTCATCCCACCCAGTGTCTGTCCTCACAATCCGCCCCCCAGGTGTCCCCCAGGTCACTGAAGACGGCACGGCCACTCCCTCCTGGGACACCGCGACGCTTTAACCCTCACGTCTGGTCGTCCTCCGGGTCCGTCTAGCCGTCCTCTGGGTCCAGCCTCTCATTCCCCACCCTCTGCCCGCCCCGTCCTCGCACACCGCCCCACCTTAGGCCATCTCGCCCAGCCCCGTGGTCCACGGACCACACCTGGCTCTCCGAGCCACCTCCTGTCCAGGTGGGTGCCATCACCTCAACGAGCACGCCCAGAAGTTAACACTTCTTCGCGGCTTTGACACACACACACACACACACACACTCCCCTCCAGCGACAGACCGGTCCGCCACGTGTCTCACCCTGTGCAGGGAGGCACTGCTGGGAGGCAGACATAAACTCAAACGGTAAACGAAGACAAGCGCTCTGCAGGAGACGCCTGGAAACCGCGCCCCCATCTACCCGTTACTCAAACCAGAAGGCTGCGCGTCACCAACGCCCCTCCCACGGCCTCCGGGGGCGGGGCTGTGGGCGCGCTCGGAAATGACGGGGCAGGGCCTGTTGCCGTACGTGGTCGGGGCGGAGTTTAAGGCCGGGCCGCTGTCGGGGTTGGTTGAGCGTAAAGGAGGGGGCGTGGGCTCCGAGGTCTCAGCTCAGGATTGGATACTCCGGCCGGAAGGGCGTGGGGAGGCTTCTCGCCCGGAAGGGGCGGGGCCTCCCTGTGGCGGCAAACTAAGGGCAACAGCCGCCAGTATGGCCTCCTCCACTAGGCTGCCCGCCGACTGTTCGCGCCGGTGAGCCCCACGCGCTGGGAGGGAGTGCGGGCGGGCGCGGGGGCGGGCCGTGGTGCTGAGCCGCCGGTGTGTCCCTCCCAGGCTGGTGGCCGAGCTGCGGGGCGCGCTGGACGCCTGCGCCGAGCGGCAGAGGCAGCTGGACCGGAGCCTGCGCGTCTGCCGGCGGCTGCTGAGGGCCTGGTAGGCGGACCTGGGCTGCTGGGCTGGGCCCCCCTCGGTTCCTTAGAGTCCCTTCGGGGTCCCTGGGCCGAGTTATACCACTTCCGAGTTGCTGCTGCCAGCACCCCCTTACCCACCAGGGTCCGAGGGGGCGGCGCCCGTGGTTTCTGTTCGGCCTCGGCCCTGCCTCCTGGCCTTGCCTTTGTCTCTGCAGGGAGCCAGCAGGACCGCCAGCTGCGGAACCAACCCCAGGGCCAGAATCGAATGGAGACCCATCTCCAGGTAAACCTCGGAACCCTAGGCCTGGCCTGTCAGAGGCTTGCACGCAGGTGCCAGGAAGTGGCACATCCCCCAGGAGAGACTCTAGCAGGATGCTTGCCTTTCACAGCATGCACACCCAGCCCTCAAGATCTCAAGGAGCTGGAGCTCCTGACCCAGGTGCTGGAGAAGGCTGTACGGGTGCGAAAAGGTGTCTCTAAGCCTGCAGAGAGAGACAAAGCCCCCAGCCTAAAACCCAGGACTGTGGCCACCCCTCCTGCCACCACGACCTCGGCCCCACCCCAGGCCCCAGGTCAGGCTGGCAGCCGTACACCAGAGACGAGACCCCCCAGGAGGATCCGCCAGTCCAAAGTGCTGGCCAAGGGCCACCCGGAGCGCAAGCTTCTGTCCACTAGGGAGAAGACCTCTCTGGGGAGAGGAGCCCAAGCCACCAGCCCCAGCCCTGGGGACCAACAGGTGACCCCATCGGCGGCTCCTCGGGCCCCAGAAGCTTTCACACTCGAGGAAAAAGGGTATGCTTCCCTGACCCGCCGGCACTGTAGGAACTCTCCACCTGTGCACGCTGGCTGGGAGCCCGGGGTTTGGGGTGATGGCAGGGTGGACACTGAGCTGGGTGTGGTCACGGAGAGGCCTGAGGTACCACCCCTTGAGCCTCACGCCCTGGAGCTGGCAGGTTGGGGCAGCTGGCTCTCCGGGCCCGTCCCCTTATACGCCCGGCTCCAGGTGGGCTCTAGAGGGCTGGCTCTGTTCACGGTGCCTCCACTCCCTGCCGGGCAGACCTGGGCTGGACCGGCCCCCATGGCCACTCTGGGAGCCCTGCCCCTGGGGGCATGTCTCAGTACAGGGTGGGCAGAGGGGAGCCTCATCCCTAAAGGGGGTCTGATCAGGGACTGGGGCCTGCAGGCCCCCAAGGGAGACCAGGCCGCTCTGAGCACTGGCTTCCCAACAGGACCCTGCTGCGACTGCCGGTGGCTTTCCAGAAGGCAGCTTCCCAGAACGCTCGGTGAGGTGGGGTCTGATGGTGGGGTAGCAGAGGGGTGGCCATCAGGGAAGGAAGGGCGGAGGAGCTCGGGGACACTGGGAGACATCCAGCAGGCTCCTGGTTTCTTTGCTGGGTGGGGGGAGTGACCAGCCAAGGCCTCCAGTGTCACCTTGCACTCAGCAGGCTCTGTGGCCCCCAGCTGGGCTAGTTACAGTGTGGGTCTTCGAGCAGGGCACGCAGTTGCCCTGTGTCCCAGCCTGCCCTCCTGCTGAAGGAGACGGTATGGTACCAGCTTTGTCAGGGCGTTGTGAGGACTGAACCAGACAGCCCCTTCCCACATCTGCCCTGTGCCAGGCACAGTGGGTGTCATAGTTACTAGTCTGCTGCCCCCACTTCTCTCCAAGGGAGGCCCAGCCCCTCCTCTTCATCCTTGAATCTCTGTTGGCATTTCCAGAGGCGGTCAGCCTTGTCCCTGCCTCCTAGTCAGTGTCCCTGCATTCCCCAAGGCTTCTGGGGGTCCCTCCTGGCATTCAGCGGAGCTAGACACCCAAGCTGGGGCCCTGCCCAGCCTTGCATAGCTGGCTGGAATAACTGGCGTCCCTCTCCTGGTTCCCGGGTGCTCGCGTGTCCCAGTCTGTGGGCCCAGATCGACTCCACACGGACCAGTGACTCTGCTAATGCCGCGACCAGAACCAGATTCCTGCAGAGGATGCAGGCAGCCGTATCCTGTCGGGCTCTAGGACCCTGGGGGCTCCAAATCTGGCAGGCTGGGGGAGATGCACGGGAAGGGCCAGCGTGGGACCACCAGGAACGCTCTGGGCAGTACTGCCTGGGCCGCTGTGCTCACGGGCCGTCGGGTCAGGGCCTGACCACAGGAAACTTTCCCTGACCGCTTCCTAGTCAGGCCGGCCCAACATGGGTCTCAGTGCGGCCGCGGTGGAGGCAGAGGTGGGGCGCCTGCGGCAGGCCTGCTCACTGCTGAGACTGCGCATGGGGGCTGAGCTGGCAGCAGGTCAGCGGGCGCTGGTGTGGGTCTTGGGTGGGGTGGGAGGGGGGTACCGGAAGGGCCTCAGCTGACCCCACCCTCTTTTATTCTCACGTAGCCCCCGCCGGCTGGGTGCAGGAGTACCGCTGTCTGCTTATCCTGGAGGGGCTGCAGGCCATGGCGGGGCGGTGTCTCCAACGGCTGCAGGAGCTACACGAAGGTGAGGCCCCGCCCCACCTGGCCCGAGTCAGGACCGAGCCTCCGGCGGCAGGGCATCACTGGGACTTCAGCCAGTTTTCCAAGGGCAGGAAGGATGAATGGTCCAGAGGTGGGCAGGCCCTTCCCCAGGGCCACCCGCTGCCTCCTGGGCCCTCGCCTCTCGAGGACAGCTCTCCCACCCCACTGTCCCGGCAGTGACATCAGAGCCCAGTCACCTAGAGCAGTTTGCTTATCCACCCATTTATATAAAACATAGCTTGTGAAATACGTGTGCTGAGAGATGGCTCACCCAGTATTGCAAGAGGTAATTATTTCTGGAACGTTGCAAGCCAAAAATTCATAGCCATTGAGTTGATTGTGACTCAGAGCAACCCTACAGGAAAGAGTAGAACTGCCCCATAGGGTCTGTGAGGCTGTAGTCTGTGGGATCAGACTGCCACGTCTTTCTCCCAGGGAGCAGCTGGTGGATTCTAATCACTGACCTTTTGGTTATCAGTCCAGAGCTTAACCACTGCACCACGTGGCCTCCTTTTCTGGACATTAGGGGTTTTTAAATTTTTCTTTTTTTCCTTAATTGCGTGAAGTTGTGAGTGGATATATGTGTTCGTCAGAAACAAAGTCATTCTCCAAGAACGTCACACGTGCCTGGTGACACACCCAGTATTGAGAAGGCTCTAGAGTACAGCCTCTCTCCCACGCCGAGCCTTCCCCACACACACAGCACACCTGTGCTCGTATATGCACCAGGGCGAGGAGGGGGACCGGGGAGCAGGCACTGGCCCATGAGGGAGGCTGGGCCTCGGGCATGGCGGCCGCCTCAGGAGGCCACTTGCCCTGTCCTCACAGCCGTGACTGAACAGCATCTGGAGCTGTGGCCCTCGGGGATGCCCCCTAGGGCCTCATCCCTCTGTGGAGGAGGCACGGATGCTGCCTGGAGCCCCCAGCCGCTCCTATACTCCAGCACCCGGGAGCTGCAGACCCTGGCGGCCCTCAGACTCCGTGTGGCCATGTTGGACCAGCAGCTCCACCTGGAAAAGGTACTTTCAGAACTGGGGGGTGGGGCGGGGGCACCTCCTCAGGAGCTTCACTCCTAGGGACCCAGCGGAGGGCACGTGAGCCTCTGGTTGGGCCTGGGTCTGCGTGCAGGCCGGGAAGTAGCCACCCAGTGTGTGGCACCTGCCAGAGGCGGCGCTGGGCCCAGGGGCAGTGGGGGTAGCACGGGGCCTTGAGGTCCTAGAAGGGGGAGGAGCTGGAACAGGGTGTCTGGGGTTGCTCCGCCCCCTGGGTCCCCCAGTGGGGGCTCTGAGACACGCCCTCCTGAGCCCTTGGTCCACCCCTGCCCCAGGTCCTGATGGTCGAGCTCCTCCCCTTGGTGAGGACCCAGGGGCCAGACTGCCTGGCCCTGTTCCGGGCTGTGTACAGCCTGCTCTGCAACGGAGGCCAGCGCTTCCCCATGGTCCTGCGGGATGAGCCTGCAGACTGAGCCCTGCCTGGAGCCTCCGGACCTGGGGCACTGCCAGCCGGGTCTGGCCCGAGTCGGCCTCCCTAGCTGGAGTTACAGGGATTGAGGGAAAAATTTGGAATTTCACCAGGGCAGATGGGCCCGGGGCCTCCCTGTGAAAGGGGGCTGGGGAGGTGGTGGCCACGGTGTCCCACATCCAGGCCCTTCCTGGGCTAAGAGCCTTCTTAGCACGGTGACACCTGCTGGTCTGAGCCCCGCCCTGCCTTTCTGAGTGTGGGGGGACGGAGGCCATGCAGAGCCTGCTTTCTCTCACTGTAGAGTTACAAGCCACTGTGTGACATTAAATCCTTTAAAAAGTGTATTTACAAAGGATCACCACGGGACTTGGGAGTATTGTATTTTTTGCTGCATTGTCTGTCTGTCTTTCTCAAGAATTATACATCCCTTCTGTACTAAAAAGAGAGTAAGGGGCCACTCAGGGTGGGCTGCACCACAGAATCGCCATCTGGCATCGCCCAAGCACACCGGAAGCCTATCCTTGCCCCAAGTCAGGGAGACACTGAGAGTGGGCCATTGCTGCCCACAGCCACCCGGCTCGCCATGGCCAGCACCTCTCCGGCCCGCCCCACCCCTACCCCGCTGAAAGCAGCACCACCTCCCCAGGAAGCAGGAAAACACCAGAGTCAAGTCCATAGCCCCCACAGTCACAGACAGGTTTACGGTGGGACCTGTTGCCAGCTGTGGGGCTTTCAGCAAGATTCCGGAGGCCTCTGAGCAGCGATCCGCCAGGGTTGTCCCCACTGTCAAACTGGGGGGGCGTGGTTGTTACCTCCTGGGGTGGAGCCTGGAAGGCAGCTGGGCCCACTGAGCACTTGGGGGGCAGGCACTGTTAGTGCTCTCCTGAGGCATCTATAGGGAGCGCCTGCTGTGTGCCCAGCATGCTCCTCCAGCTGGGGGCACTGGCTTTTCAGGGAGAACACACTGGGCTGGGGATAAGGACGCTGCCCAGAGGGACCTGGCCAGCAGGCAGCGCTGTAGAAGGCAGGTCTTCTGGGAGCCAGGTAAAGGGTTGCAGGTGTGGGGGTTCACAAGGCGGTAGTGGAGCAACCTTGGGGTGACTCCACAGCCCCCAAGCCAGGAGGCCCTACTTGGAAAGGACCCCCCAGTCCAGCAGGCCGGAAACACACTGACATGGACAGGGTTGAGGGCTGCTGGGGACCAGGTGACAGGCCAGAGTAGGAAATGGAAGAGTAGGGCCATAGTGGTAGTCAAGATGCCCTTCCTAGGGACTGGGACAGCTCTGTCCCCTGCCCAGGGCGCAGAGCTATAAGGCATGGCAGGGAGGGCACGTGCCCTGGGCACTGCTCGAGGCGGGGGTTGCTCGTGAGCAGTTTCTGTTGACCATCGGTTTCCATCGCCAGCTATGAAATCATTCAGCAATTTAACATCGATTGCCATAGGTGTTTTGTGTAAATAGGCCCGTGCCAGGGCGGGAACCCTGGGGGGCAGAGTCCAGACCAGTTGGCATCACTACCTGGGGCAGGGATCAGCCAGCCGCACCCCTCCTAGCTACTGCACTGCCAGCTGGTCCTGGGGTTTGGAGGCACCCCACTCACCTGCCACACTTTCAAAGCAGGACGCTCCTTAGGGCAGGGCTCGCCCTCTCTGTGGAATTGATAGTTTAATTCTTGGAGGACCCCTTGGTCCCCAGGGTTGATGCCACCACAACCCTGCTACTGTCACCCCGTGTCCACTCCCCCAAGGCGGTGTCCACCCTGAATTCTCTCATTGACTTGTCCTCTGGGCTCGTCCATCTTCCTCCACCAGGGCAGGGTGCTGTCCATCTCTGTCCCCACCAGGCCCAGATGGGCACCCAACAGCAGTCAACTTAGTGCCCACCAGGGCTTTGGGCATGTTCATTCCCTGCAATTTGCATTTCTAACAAGTTCCCAAGTGATGCTAATTCTGCTGGTTACGGGCCATTCCTGAGAACCACTAGTAGAGCCCAACCCGCTGCTATCGAGTGGATTCCGACTGAGTGACCCCATAGCGTTTCCAAGGCTGTAAATCTCTACAGAAGCAGATTGCCGCATCTTTCTCCCACGGAGCCACTGGTGGTTCTGAAATGCTGACTTTTCTGTTAGCAGTCAATCGCTTTAACAACTGTGCCACCAGGGCTGCTTGCCAGTAGAGCAGTAGTTCTCAAAGTTTATTTGTGAGAATCGCCAGGGAATCTTGTTAAAATGTCAACGGTTCAAAACCCTGGTGCCCACCTATCCCAGGTCAGGCTGGGCACCAGTTGTGTTCTGCGAGCTGTTTGTGGGCGTGCCTGGGCCTTCTTGGGCAGGAAGGTGGCACTGGGGCGTCTGAGTAGGACCCAACACAAGGCGCACAGAGCAGGAAAGGAAGACCCCCCCTCCGGAATTGCTCCCGCCCACCCCGATTCCCGGCGTCCCCAGTGCGTCACCGCGTCTCCGGCCAATCCGTTCTGACGTGGCAAGCGGGGAGGGGAGCGAGGGTTGCGCCGGCGCCCACTCCCACCCATCCACCCCCGAGCGCGGCCCCCGCGTCGGCGGCATGAACGCGCCGGATCCCCT